TATTGTCCGCTTAGAGTGGTCAAAGTTACACTCACCAACTAAAATATATAATGTTACTAAAATTTATAAAATATTATTTTTAAAAATATTAATTTAATTTAATTTAATTAATAAAAATAATTAATAACAACAATTATTAATTAGTAACAATTTTTTTTAACGACGGCAATAACTGCACCCGTTTAGGTGGCGCTTAATACCGCGTCTATTACGGACGGCCCTGCCCTGCCCTTTTACTTGTTCACTGACTTCTGACATTTCACTTCATCCCAGCTTCGAGCTCTCCGCTCCCGTCTTCCTCTGGCAATGGCGGTCGCCTCTAATTCCTTGGCTTCTTTTACCCATACCTCTCTTATTCAACCCAGAAGAGCCTCGCAATCCTTTCCTCCTATCTCCCTTTCTCTATCGAGATCTCGTTCTCTTTCCCTCAAACTCACTCATGAATCCAATTCCGTCACACGTTGCTCCGCCGGAGGAAACACCAGCACGGGCGAAGACACTCCGATTGAATTAAGTGCGTTTTCTTCCTCCTGTTTGTTTTTGTTTCTACTTTTATCCACCAAATGCTACCTTTCTGACGGCTTTTCTGGTTTCTCAATCTCGTGCAGGATATCCGGCGTTTCCGACGGTGATGGACATTAATCAGATCAGAGAGATATTGCCTCACAGGTGATTCACAATATCGCTTTATTCACGTTTTTTTCTTTTTGGTTCTATTTTATCATTTGTGAGTTTATTGTAGTGATCTTTGTGGTGGTTGTGTTAAATAAAATAGGTTTCCTTTTCTGCTAGTGGATAGAGTGATAGAGTATAATCCTGGGGTATCGGCTGTTGCTATAAAGAACGTGACTATAAATGATAACTTCTTCCCTGGGCATTTCCCAGAGAGGCCAATAATGCCTGGTGTTCTTATGATTGAGGTAATGGACTGCATTCTCCTATCTATTATCTTTCACATGATGTTTGAAACTGTGGAATATTTTAAAGTTTTTTAGTAGCTGAGCTGGGATTTATCCTGAATTTCCTGGTTTTGTTGTGGGTTTATGTTTTTGATGCGTATTTCTTGATTGAGGATGCCCTTTTTGGAGTCACATTTGTATAGGTGAAATGGTGCAACATTGTCTGGAACCTTGTTGAGTGATTGTTGAGATGAAGAGAAATTTGGGTAGGTATGTAATTGTGTCAGGGTGACAACCCTTTGTTATACCTATATATATCTTAACGGTTAGGCAGAATCCTTAAAATCTCCATAGCCAGAATGTCTTTGTTAACAAATGAGCCCAAAATAAAAATATAAATAAATAAATAAGAAAGGAGGAAAATGGTATAAGAAATACGTGTTGTTGGATTAAGTGAGGTAGAACTTATTGGTGATAGGATAAGTGGATTAAGTGTGCACGCTGTAGATTAATAGTTTCTCCCTTGTGCAATGAGGACTTAAGCATTGTGCACTTGGCTTGTGCTGTTGAGGGTTTTAGAACTTCATATTTGTTACTATAAAATTCTTGGACTAAAAATTTTCAATTGAAAGGGAATGTAGGATTATATGTTTCTAAACTCAAGGGTGTATGAGTGGAGTTCATTTTGTTGGGTTTTTTAAAACAAAGAAATGGAGAGAACCGAGAGGAAGAAGATGAAGAGCAGAGCACATAAAATGGAGAGGAGTATATCACTCCAACTCCTCTTTTCTCATTAACAAACTCTCCTATATATAGGAGAATACAAACATTTCAAAATTCAAATCTATTCTACATTAAAAAACAATAAAGTACATTTGAAATTTAAACAAATAACAGCTGCAACTTGCGTCCTTTGGCAGCTCTGCAGCCTCTTTGCAACCTTTCATGTGCATTTGCATTTCATGTGCATTTCATTTGCTGTTCATTGCAGCCTCATCTTCATCAACATTTGCAGCTTAGCTTGCTGCACATTTTTGCTGTCATTTGACAGCTTCAATTTCACCATATTTGCAGCTAAGTTGCTGCACTTTGCTGCTACCGTCGTATTGGTGCAGCTCTCCCTTCTTCATTTGCTGCCATTTTGTGCAGCCCTTCATTTTCACTTGCTGCTACTTGGCAGCTTGAACACCACAACTCCAACACATTTCTCTACAGTTGAAGGGAAAACACTTGACTAGTTAATTGGTGGCAGAAGTATTATGGATATTTGGAGTTCTGATTAAGTATGTTTAGCAATGGTATTATAACGTCAACAAGAAAAAGACAAGAAAAACACAAAGTGAGTTACAGTCCTCTCCCTCATATGGTAAGACTCAAAACCTTGAACCAAGCCGAGGCTTGTCCACCTTGCATATAAATTTTTTGTTCTAGTTTCCGACTTCCTTCTCTTTTAGCAATTAAAGTCTTCACTCTCTTTTAGCAATTAAAGTCTTCACTCTCTTTCTCCTGGTATCATCCTCAAAAAATAGAATATCCTTTGCAATTCAAGTATGGCAACCTGAAAGATAGCATACTCATCCTTTTGTTTTTCTTTATCACCATACAAACTTACTGGAGGTTTCTGTATCTTATGAGTTGCTAGATTTTCAGTTTGAATAACTTAGCAACTTCTACCTTTATGCTTTGTGACTACATGATTGAAGGTTGTCAAAACAGTTATGATCCATTTCATTTTTGACACCTTCAGTGCAGTGTTCTAATTCTGCTGTTGCTAGGTCATTACCTCTGTGCATAGAAACATAGAATAAGGAACCAAAAATCATTCATTGCATCATCTTCCTAATTGTCATTTTGCATGTGAATTAGTTAAGCACCACATCCATTCAATCACTTTGCCTCTTTCTTTAGGTGTTGTTGCATGATCTTCTAAACTCCATCAGTTATCATCTACTCTTCAGTTCCCCCCC